TCCCACCCCCCTTTTTTTTTTTCTTTACCAGCCCTTTTTCCTTTCGCCCCGCAGCCGGCCGGACCACCACCAACGAGGAGCTGGAGGACATGTTGGAGAGTGGGAAGTTGGCCATCTTCACCGACGATGTACGTGGGGGATCTGGAACCTTCCTGGGGGACCTAGAACGTTGCTGGGGGGGTGGGGGGGCTGGGACACCTAGAACGCTGCTAGGGTGGACTTGGAACCTTATTGGGGGTCTGGAACCGTTTTGGGGGATTTTAGGACATCAGTGTGGGGGCTAGAACCCTATTGGGGGGCCTAGAACACTGCTAGGGTGGACCTAGAGCTCTGTTGGGGGTCTGGAACCGTGTTGGGGGAAGATAGAACACCACTGGGGGCTTGAAGCTCATTGGGGGACCTAGAACGCTGATGGGGTGGACCTAGAACTTCATTGGGGATCTGGAAGCATGTTGGGGGAGGGTAGAACAATAGTGTGGGGCTAGAACCCCATTGGGGGACCTAGAACGCTGCTGGGGTGGAGCTAGAACCACTTTGGGGATCTGGAAGCATGTTGGGGGAGGGTAGAACAGCAGTATGGGGGCTAGAACCTCATTGGGGGACCTAGAACGCTGCTAGGGTGGAGCTAAGAACCCCATTGGGGACCTGGAACCGTGTTGGGGGAGTTTAGGACATCAGTGTGGGGGCTAGAACCCTATTGGGGGGCCTAGAACCCTGCTAGGGTGGAGCTAGAACACCATTGGGGATCTGGAACCGTGCTGGGGGAGGATAGAACACTACTGTAGGGGTTGAAGCTTATTGGGGGACCTAGAACGCTGCTAGGGTGGACCTAGAACCTCATTGGGGGTCTGGAAATGTGTTGGGGGAGGATAGAACACAAGTGTGGTGTCTAGAACCTCATTGGGTACCTAGAACACTGCTAGGGTGGACCTAGAACCCCTTTGGGGACCTGGAACCGTGTTGGGGGCAGGTAGAACAGCAGTATGAGGGCTAGAACCCCATTGGGGGACCTAGAACACTGCTAGGGTGGACCTAGAACCCCATGAGGGGATCTGGAACTGTGCTGGGGGAGGGTAGAACACCAGTATGGGGGCTAGAACCCAATTGGGGAACCTGGAACACTGCTAGGGTGGAGCTAGAACCTCATTGGGGGTCTGGAACCGTGTTGGGGGATTTTAGGACATCAGTGTGGGAGCTACGTCCTCATTGGGGGACCTAGAACACTGCTAGGGTAGATCTAGAACGCCATTGGGGGTCCGGAAGCATGTTGGGGGAGTTCAGGACATCAGTGTGGGGGCTAGAACCCTATTGGGGGACCTAGAACACTGCTAGGGTGGAGCTAGAACTCTGTTGGGGATGTGGAACCGTGCTGGGGGAGGGTAGAACACCATTGGGGAACCTAGAACGCTGCTAGGGTGGAACTAGAACTCTGTTGGGGCTCTGGAACCGTGTTGGGGGAGGGTAGAACACCATTGGGGAACCTAGAACGCTGCTAGGGTGGATCTAGAACCCAATTGGGGCTCTGGAACCGTGTTGGGGTAGGATAGAACACCACTCAAGTGGCTAGAACCCCATTGGGGAACCTAGAACCCAATATTTAGAGGCAGATTCAGGTTTTCTTTGGGGCTTTCTGAGGTTTCTGGTTTTCTTTGGGTCATCCAGAACCCTATGTGTGATCTAGAACCCAATATTCAGAGACAGATTTGGGTTTTATTGGGCGTTTTTGAGGTTTCTGCTTTTCTTTAAGTCATCCAGAACCCACTGGGTCACCTAGAACCCAATATTCAGAGACAGATGTGGGTTTTCTTGGGGCTTTCCAAGGTTTCTGTTTTTCTTTGGGGTCATCCAGAACCCATTGGGTGACCTAGAACCCAATATTCAGAGACAGATGTGGGTTTTTTTGGGGCTTCTTGAGGTTTCTGCTTTTCTTTGGGTGATCTAGAAGCCTATGTGTGACCTAGAACCCAATATTCAGAATCAGATTTGGTTTTCTTGGGGCTTTTTGAGGTTTCTGCTTTCCTTTGGCTCATCCGGAACCCATTGGGTGACCTGGAACCCAGTATTTGGACACATGTGGGTTTTCTTGGGGCTTTTTGAGGCTTCTGCTTTTCTTTGGGTGATCTAGAACCCTATGGGTGACCAGGAACCCAATATTCAGAATCAGATTTGGTTTTCTTGGGGCTTTTTGAGGTTTCTGCTTTTCTTTGGGTCATCTAGAACCTTATGGGTGACCAGGAGCCCAATATTCAGAGACAGATTTGGGTTTTTTGGGGCTTTTTGCGGTTTCTGCTTTTCTTTGGCTCATCCAGAACCCACTGGGTGACCTGGAACCCAACCTACAGGGAGAAATTCGGGTTCTTCTGGGTTTTGGGGTGGGTTCTGCTGCCAATTGGGTGACTTAGAACTTCTTAAGTTAGCCCAAATCACAGTAGAGTTACCTAGAACCCGTGGAGGTACCCCAGAACCATTTGGGCCATCCAGAACCCACGGAATTCCCCCAAAATCTTCTGGAGGAACCCACTGAGATACCTTAAAACCCTCCTGAGTCACCCAGAACCCATCGAGGGACCCCAGAACCCACCGGTGGAACCCATAGAGGGACCCCAAAATCCACGGGGTGATCTGGAACCCACCGAGATCCCCCAAAACCCAACAAAATGCCCCAAATCCCCACGTGGCCGAGAAAACCACCAGGTCCCCAGTGACCTCCTCGAGTTCTCTGGAAACTGTGGGGCGATCTAGAACCCACCCCACACTTTCTTTCCCACCCCTTTTTTTTGCGTTCTAGATCAAAATGGATTCTCAGATGACCAAGCAGGCCCTGAACGAGATCGAGACGCGACATAACGAGATCATTAAGCTGGAAACGAGCATCCGGGAGCTGCACGACATGTTTGTCGACATGGCCATGCTGGTGGAGAGCCAGGTGGGGGAAAAAAGAGGAGAACAACCCTGATCTAGAACCCACAAATCCAGCCAGAAGCTCTCGTTGAGGGCCTTCGGCCCGTTGGGTCACCTAGAACCCGTCAAAAGCTTTGAGAGGGGTTTTGTTGGCTTACCTAGAACGCCTTAAAAGGCAAATTTAGGGTTCTTGATGCCCCCCCGGAAGCCATTAAGGTTTGAAAGGGTGGCCTAGAACACCCTGAGAGGCTTTTGAGCTCACTGAGAGTCACCTAGAACCCACCAAGAGCTTTAAGAAGGGTTTGTTGGCTGATCTAGAACCCATCAAAAAGCAAACTTAAGAGTTTCTGATGGCTACCCGGAAGTCGTTAAGGTCATTAGGGTTTATAAGACTTATCTAGAACGTATCCTGAGAGGCTTCTGAGCCCACCAGGGGTCACCTAGAACCCACCAAAAGCTCTAAGAAGGGTTTGTTGACTGGTCTAGAACCCATCAAAAGATATTCAGCTGCTCCCAAGCCCCCCAAGACCTACCTAGAACCCCTTGAGCCACCTAGAACCCACCCCAAGAAGCTCAGAACCCCCCCAGGTGCTCCCTAGGACCCTCCCAAGAAGGTCCTGAACTCCAGAACTCCTTGAGCTACCTAGAACCCCATCCCAAGAACCTCCCAAGCCCTCCAAGACCTACCTAGAACCCCTTCAACGACCTAGAACCCACCCCCAGAACCTCCCAAGTCCTCCAAGACCTACCTAGAACCTCTTGAACCACCCAGAACCCACCCCCAGAAGCTCCCAAGCCCCCCAAGACCTACCTAGAACCCCTTCAACGACCTAGAACCCACCCCCAGAACCTCCCAAGTCCTCCAAGACCTACCTAGAACCCCTTGAACCACCTAGAACCCACCCCAAGAAGCTCCCAAGCCCCCCTAGACCTACCTAGAACCCCTTGAACCACCTAGAACCCACCCCCAGAAGTTCCCAAGCCCCCCTAGACCTACCTAGAACTTTTTGAACCACC